CTTGGCTTGGCAGGTTAAATTCAGCATGTGATGCCGACGCCATATTGGATTAGCCGAGGTCTGGCATGCGGTTGGCATAATCTTTAAAGTGCTTGGTGAGCGTGCTTGTTTTACCAGCCAGGGGGCTTCCCCTGGCCTCTGTGGGAGCTTTCGGAGTGTTTGGGGTTCTCCAAGTCTGCGGTGTGTCTTTGATTTGTGGAATTTGTGCCTGTGTTGCTTTGAGCTGTACTAGCAAGCGGTTAGCCACGCCCCCCAATATTTTATTTTTATGTCTTAAACCAATATATTCTGCAAGAAAAATGTATATATAAAATATAATTAAGTTTATGATATTGATAGAGTTCATTGTATAGCATTATACATTTTACATGAAAAAAAAATAATGAAACAGTCCTGATAAAAATAAACTGATCGTGTATTATGAGTGAATCAGTTATCACTGGTTGCCCTTTGCTCTTGCAAAGAGTGTCCTCCTAAAAATTAAGGAGTACTCATATCTGTGACCCTCTACACAGTTTTACAGAAAGATAAGAATCACTGAAACAATAAACTTAACAACGATTCATTCAACAGAGGTAAGCTGATTGCACATATACATATCTGCTACTTGAATGGAATACATAATAAAATCCAATAGAAATGTAACTGTTTCCCTTTAGCCCCTTTACAATAATCAATTCCTGTTATTGTAACACTTCGTAAATACCATATGTCACAAAAGGAATAACTAGTTAGTAAGCATCTTACTTTGAGCATATTGGGAATAATTCACTAACTTAGCTTCAAATTATTTTCTATATTGCAAAATTCTGGGATATTTCACCAATTTAATACATTTGCAATTTAGGTATTTGCTGAAGGCAATTTGAGAGCAAATTTGGAGTTTAACCCAGAATGTAGTTATTTAAGTCAGGGCATTTTTTTTTTTCATTTTCACAAATACATGAATATGTCCAAACTTATGTAGAAACCTTTTCATTCTATATAAATAATGTGATTATGAATTTGGAAATTCTAAAGCCCACATGCTGTTATTCTTAATATTGTAGAAATACCTATAAACAAGATATTTATTTAGTTATTTAGTTAGATATAACATAGCAATATTTTGTAATAATTTAATATGAATACAAATTTAAAAAGTTTGAGAAATCAGAAAATTTATTTTTTTTAGTTCTGCATGGTATTCTCTCTTCTGGTGCTGTCCCTGCTCCCCTTAAGCATGCTACTGTCATACCCATCCTAAAAAAGCCATCCCTAGACCCGTCTTCCACTTCCAACTATTGTCCCATATCCCTGCTTCCTTTTTCCTCAAAGCTTCTAGAAAGACTCGTATGACTCACTTCATAAATTCCAACTCCCTCCTCAATCCTCCTCAATCTGGCTTTTGCCCCCTCCACACTACTGAGACTGCGCTTATTAAAGTTACAAATTACCTTATTACAGCCAAAATCAAAGGCCACAGCTCCATACTAATTCTTCTTGACCTCTCTGCTGCCCTTGACACTGTTGATCGGGGCCTCATTCTCCAAACTCTACAATCTCTTGGTATCTGCGACACAGCCCTCTCATGGTTCTCCTCCTATCTCTCCCAACGCTCCTTTAGTGTCTCTTTTTCCAACAGCACCTCCTCTCCTTGCCTGTCTCAGTCGGAGTCCCTCAAGGTTCAGTTCTTGGTCCCCTTTTGTTCTCTCTCTATGCTACCTCTCTTGGCAAACTCATTAATTTATTTGGATTCCCCTACCACCTGTCCGCTGACGACAACCAGATATATCTCTCTTCCCCTGACCTCTCCCCTGCTGTCCTACAACGTATCACCAATTGCCTTTCTTCTATCTCTGATTGGATGTCCTCCCGCTTTCTCAAGCTCAATCTCTCTAAAACTGAGTTTCTTATTTTTCCTTCTCATAACACTGATCCTCCTCCTTCACTCTCCCTGCTGAATGATGGTACCTGCCTCAACCCATCCTTTCAAACTCGATGTCTTGGTGTCACTTTTGATTCTGCCCTTTGATTCTGTTTTGACTCATGTCCAATCTGTTGCTAAAACCTATTGATTCCAACTTAAAAAGGAAGTGTTCCGGAGGATTGGAGGAAGGCAGATGTGGTTCCTATATTCAAAAAGGGTTCAAAATCCTTGCCTGGAAATTATAAACTTGTGAGCTTAACTTCTGTGGCTGGGAAAATATTTGAAAGGTTATTAAGGGATAATAATCAAGAATTCCTTGAGAAGAACAAGGTCATCAGCAAAAATCAGCACAGTTTTATGAAGCACAGGTCATGTCAAACTAACTTGATTGCGTTCTATGAAAAAGTAAGTAGAAGTATAGATCAGGGTGTTGCAGTGGATGTGATCTATTTGTATTTTGCCAAGGCATTTGATACAGTTCCACACAATAGATTAGTGTTCAAACTCAAGGAAATCGGTCTAGATGAAAATGCTTGTTCTTGGGTAGAACATTGGCTTAAAAACAGAGTACAAAGAGTTGTCATTTAATGGTAAATTTTCAAGCTGGACAGAGGTGGCAAGTGGTGTCCCTCAGGGGTCTGTTCTGGGACCCCTTCTATTTAACATGTTTATAAATGATCTTGAAGACAGCATTGAAAGTCATGTTTCAGTGTTTGCAGATGACACAAAACTCTGTAAAATAATACAATGTAAGCAAGATATTACTTTTCTGCAGAGGGATTTAGATATACGGGGGGCTGGGCACTCAAATGGCAGATGAAATTTAATGTTGAAAAATGCAAAGTTATGCACTTCGGCGTAAAGAATAAACAAGCAACGTATACCCTTAATGGAAGCGAATTTGGGATAACAACACACGAAAAGGACTTGGGAATTGTTATAGACAGCAAACTATGCAACTATGTGCAATGTAAATCCGCAGTGGCCAATGCCAGTAAGGTATTGTCATGCATGAAAAGGGGCATTCTCGGGACGAGAATATAATTTTGCCTCTTTATAAATCACTGGTAAGACCACATATTGAATATGCTGTGCAATTTTGGGCACCTTTTCTAAAGAAGGATATTATGGCACTAGAAAAAGTGCAGAGGCGGGCTACAAAATTAATAAAAGGAATGGAACATATCAGCTATGAAGAAAGGTTAACAAATTTAAACCTATTTAGTTTAGAAAAACGTCGCCTGAGAGGGGATATGATAACATTATACAAATATATTCAGGGCCAATACAAACCATTGTCTGGAAATCGATTCACAAACCGGACTTTACATAGGACACGAGGTCATGCGTTTAGACTGGAAGAAAGAAGATTTCGTCTAAGGCAAAGGAAAGGTTTTTTACTGTAAGAACAATAAGGATGTGGAATTCTCTGCCTGAAGAAGTGGTTTTATCAGAGTCCATACAGATGTTCAAACCGCTACTAGAGGCATACTTGCAAAAACAGAATATTCAATCTTTCAATGTAGGGTAACAACTGCTTGATCCAAGGATAAATCTGACTGCCATTCTGGGGTCAAGAAGGATTTTTTTTCCTAGCTTTTTGCAAAATTGGAAGTACTTACAATTGGGTTTTTTGCCTTCTTCTGGATCAACAGCAAAAAACAAATGTAAGGAAGGCTGAACTTGATGGACGCAAGTCTCTTTTCAGCTATGTAACTATGTAACTATGTAAAAACATTGCCCATATACGCCCCTTTCTTATGCAAGATGCTGCCAAGGAGCTTGTTCATGCTCTATTGCATCAATTACTGTAACTCTCTCCTAATCGGTCTCCCCAGAAGCCGTACTATCCCCCTACAACTAGTGATGTCCCGAACGGTTTGGCGAACGGTTCGCGAACGGTTCGCCACGGACTCATCATTGAGTAAACTTTGACCCTGTACCTCACAGTCAGCAGACACATTCCAGCCAATCAGCAGCAGACCCTCCCACCTCCTGGACAGAATCCATTTTACATTCATTGTGAAGCTGCATTCTTAGTGAGCTGTCCAGGAGGTGGGAGGGTCTGGGAGGGAGGGTCTGCTGCTGATTGGCTGGAATGTGTCTGTTGACTGTGAGGTACAGGGTCAAAGTTTACTCAATGATGAGTCCGCAGCGAACCGTTCATGGCGAACCGTTCATGGCGAACCGTTCGCAAACCGTTCAGGACATCACTACCTACGACCTTTAGTGAATGATGCTGCTAGGCTGATCTCTCCTGTCACTCCCCTCACACCTCACCCCTCTGTCAATCCTTACACTGGCTTCCTGTCCCCTACAGGTGTCAATCTAAAATACTAACCGTTACCCATAAAGCTCTAACTAACTCTAGCCCCTCTTACATTTCTTCACAGATTAATAGGTATGCCACCTCTTGGTCTATCCGCTTCTCCTGTCTGCTGCTCTCACCCTTACTACAAATTCACACCTGTAAGACTTCTCATGGGTGTCTCCTTTCCATTGGAACAGCCTGCATCTCCTCTAGTCTTAAATCCTTTAAGAAGTCCCTCAAACCCCATCTTTTCAGGAATGCTTATGGCCAGGGCCGGTGCAAGGATTTTTGCCGCCCTAGGCAAAAGTAAAGTTTGCCGCCCCCCCCATATGACATCACAATGCCCCATGTTAACTAACGCAAGTGCTGCAGTGCCACCGTGTTTACATTAAAAGGCCTGCAAGGACAGGCTATAGACACCAGAACCACTACATTAAGCTGCAGTGGTTCTGGAGACTATAGTGTTTCTTGTGAGGTAAATTAGAGATTAGTGCCACGAATAATATACTAGATTGCCTACTTACAACCAGATGAGGATGGTGATGGGCTCTAGCTGCAGTCTGGCTCCACTCGTCTGGTGTAGAACAGGCTCTCTGGAGGCTGTTTGTGTTCTGGGAGAACGGGAAGCAGCTCCATTTTTTTAAGGCCCTTAACACAGCTCAAGGTCTGGGCCCCAGGGTCCACCTTCATGTTCCACCAATTAGTTTGTTCACAGGAGTAGGGGATGTCCTGATATGTGTCTAAGGAATGCATTGTGTGAATCTGTGTTTGTATGTGTAAGGGCTGCAATGTGTGTTTCTATGTATGTACGGGATGCAGTGTGTGCGTCTGTAAGGTGTGCATTGAGTGTGTGTAAGGGGTGCATTGAGTGTGTGTAAGGAATGCATTGTGTGTTTCTGTGTGTGTAAGGGATGCATTGTGTGTAAGGGTTGAATTGCTTGTGTGTGTGTGTGTGTGTAATGCATTGTGTGTTTTTCTGTGTGCAAGGGGTGCATTGTGTGTGTGATGGATGTCAATCTCTCCCCCCTCCCTTGTCACTCTCTTCTCCCTCTCTCCCTCCCTCGTCACTCTCTTCTCTCCCCCCCCTTGTCTCTCTCTTCTCCCCCCCTTGTCCCTCTCTTCTCCCCCCTCTTGTCCCTCTCTTCTCCCCCCTCCCTTGTCACTCTCTTCTCCCCTGCGTGTCCCTCTCTTCTCCCCCCTCCCTTGTCACTCTCGTCTCCCCCGTTGTAACTCTCTTCTCCCCTCCCCACTCTCATTCCCCCTCCTAACCCCGTCAATTCCCCTCCCTGTCAATTTCTTCCCCCCCACCTTGTCAATTTATTTTCCCCCCTTTCAATTTATTCCCCCCACCCTGCCTGTCCATTTATTCCCCCACCCTGCCTGTCCATTTATCCCCCCCCCACTGTCCATTTATTCCCCCCCGTCCATTTATTCCCCCCCCCTGTCCATTTGTATTCCCCCTCCTGTCCATGTATTTCCCTCCCTGTCCATTTATTTCCCCCTCCCCGTCCATTTATTTCCCCCTCCCTGTCCATATTTATTTCCCCTCCCTGTCCATTTATTTCCCTTCCCTCCATGTCCATTTATTCACCCCCCTCCTGCCCATTTATTTCCCCTTCCTGTCCATTTATCCCCCCCTCCGTCCATTTATTCCCCCACCCTACCCTACCTCTATTGTAGCGTGGCCGAGCCCTGTATGATCCGCGGGTACAGGGAGCTTTTGTTTCCTGTACCCGGCCGGACTAAAAGGAAGTGAACACTCAGTGTGCACTTCCTGTTAGTCCGTCCGGGTACAGGAGACAGCTGCTCCCTGTACCCGCGGATCATACAGGGCTCGGCCACGCTACAGAGGGAGCTGACAGGAGGGAACGCTGAGCGTTTCCCTCCTGTCAGCCCCTCTCCTCTGGCTGCGTCCGGGCGGTGCGGTCCGCCCTCATGGACGCACCGCCCGGGCAAAGCTGCAGCCGCCTGATGCTCTATACAGAGCGCTCGGGCGGCTGCAGCATGGGGGGGCTGGCGCTCCTGGCGGCGCCCCTTCCCAAGGGGCGCCCTAGGCGGCTGCCTAGTCCGCCTTACAGGTAGCGCTGGCCCTGCTTATGGCCTCCAAGCGTAACTTCTATCTCTCAAACCTTTCTCTAACTCTCTTCTATAGGGCCACAATCCACTCTCACCTCCAGTTCTGCTACTTTCCCACCATGTCTATTTGCTTTCTCTCTCAATACCCTTTCTTTTGTATTTTTATACCTCACCTCCTCTAGACTGTAAGCTTTTTTGAGCAGGGTTCTCAACTACCTATTGTTCCTGTTACATTTTGTTATTGTCTCATTTGGTAAATTTGCCTTTTATTGTAAAGCGCTGCGGAATAAGCTGTTGCTATATAAATACCAATAATAATAATAACTGTGAATGTCATAATACTGTTTACTTTTACTTCTTACTGCAAACAGGAAAACTTTTAACATAAAACATAAAAACTACTGTTTTATGCTGTCCTGAGGAAAAACCCAAATAGGGACTGAAACATCGATCTTAAGCAGAAATTTTAAAACATTATGTTTTGATTTTTTTTAAATGTTTTTGTTATGAAGAAATAAAAAAAAGTTATATTTTGTATGAAGACCGTGAGTGCAGACTACACCTCTGGAATTTGCTGATGTGACTGCAGTCTGGCACCCGGCATCAACATTTGGATCGTGTGTGCATGGAAAAATTATAAAAACAACACTTTTGTTTTTGCCCCATTTTTTATGAACTGAACTCAAAGATCTAAGACTTTTTCTATGTACACAAAAAGCCTATTTCTCTCAAATATTGTTCACAAATCTGTCTAAATCTGTGTTAATGAGCACTTTTGTTTGGCCGACATAATCCATCCACCTAACAGGTGTGGCATATCAAGATGCTGATTAGACAGCATGATTATTTCAAAGGTGTGCCTTAGGCTGGCCACAATAAAAGGCCATTCCATTTTTACCAATGCTCCCAGTTTCTCCATTGTTGTAGAGTGTAACTGATGACTTTGTGTGCACAATCTCTTCAAATGTACACTTCACACACATAAAGAACTCTAGCTTGCTGAAGTAATTTATGCGTGGAGTGTGTCCTCTTGCTTTCATTGTACAAAAAGTGCAGATTTCAGTAGAAATTGGTACTTTTATAAATTAACTTTGTTACACCCCCATCTGTCAATCAGACAACAAGTCCTGTTACTTCCTTGTTTATATTTATACTGTATTGGGAAGTCTGTGAGTGGAAAACCTGGGCTAGGTTAGAAGGGGAGGTTTTGCAAAGGCTGCAGTCAAAAGATATACAATTCTAGATACACCCAATGAAAAAATGTATAATTAAATGTATATATGTTTTCATTGGGGTATATCTACTAAATAGTAGTTTTTTTGTTTGTTTTTTGGACAGTGGATTGTCCCTTTAATGTTTTCAAGAAGCACCTGTCTAAAGCTCTAGATGAATGAAATTATTAACATGTACAATGAAATTTTGAAGACATGCTTTCTGTAAAAAGTTAATTGTAACATTTTATAAATGCTTTAAAATCAAATATTGTTGTATTATTTTCCTTATGAATCTTTTTTATTCAGTCATTTACTGTTGAATAGAGCAGAAACCATGAACTGTGTTAATCAAAGTGTTGTATTTCAGATATTGAAATATTAGCTTAGATTTAATCTGGTAATGGAAAAAATATTCAACATTTAAACTGGCTAACTTAAAAAAGGATATCCACGGGTGTTCAGAGGAAAGTTATTTTTGTATCACCATGTGTGATGATATTTTGGATTAATTATTCTCCCATAACTAATAGGGAACAGACCATGTTGAATAGAAGCGGTGATACAAATCTTTTTATGGAGACATAAGGTGAAAAGCATTTTGCACAGTCAAACTTCTGCTAGACTGTTAAACAAGAACCAGACATGCAACTTTTTGGAATTGACCCAGAATAAAAAAATACTTGGCATTTTATGAAGAAACAATCCTCCAGGTCTGATCATGGATCAACCATGAAGAGTTCCTTTAATCTGTATAATTTCTTTTAATTATACTGGCATGTGCAGACCAGCAAAATTGACTTAGACTAGCGAAGCCAAAAAAGGTATTACTTAAAAATATGCATGAAAGAACTTAGCATCTGGTACTAAAACAGCAAACACATAGTTCCTATAAATCCTAACACTGATTTTAGGTTCATTTGGAAATAATTGATTATAAAGTAAAGCTATGAAGCCTTTAAAAGCATTATAAATGCTGTAATACTATACAATAGAGACCTTTTGTAGAACAGATTGCCTAAAAATGATGCACTAAAGAAAGAAAATAAAATAAGCAAACAATTCTGAAAGAGAAAAACAAGTTGATCAGGAAATGTTACCAAAATGGCTTTTATTTAACAAATATTATACATTATATATCATAAGCTTACAAAAAAAACACATTTCACAAGATGAAAAACTGGAAAGCAGAGGTTTAGAAGGAAATTAGTAACATAGCATTACAAGAACAAACAAGAACAAAATGTACCAAAATACAGAAGCATGGTTTATTGCACTCATAAGGCCAAAACAACAAGGCAAGAGCATGGACAATATGAAAAAATAATAAGTCACAATGTTAAGTAAAAATAACTAAATGACAAACATGTAAATGTGTGACTAAATAACAACTCTATATAAAAGCGGCAGATTGAAGCTCTACTGATATATACAATTCTACCTATACATGAAATTATTTTTGGAAATCCAATTTCTACAAATCCCATGTGAAGTGTAGCAGATGGAAACAAACCATCCATAGCAGACATTTCTCAAGTCATCTTAGACTTTAGGAAAGACTTGAAGGACAAAAATACTGATATTTGTTTCTTTTCATCAGATATTAAATAGGAGTTACACAAACTCGGTACAAGGACCTACAAAATAGAAGATAACTTAATGTCTGCTGAACATCAGGCTTTAAGGAAAGAGGTACCCTTAATTATACTAAAAGCGACACACCCAGCAAACAGGTTATGGAGGAATAACCCCCAACTTCTGAATTGTCAAACTTTGTCAAGGACTTTCTGACATAACCTCTACCCACACTGGATCCATCTCAAGTATAATTGAATAGAACTCATAAGCTTTCCAAGGCAAAATCTGCCCCAGTATATTCTCCCAAAGATGCTATCACCTGTGTTCATTTCTACACAAGTAAGAGAGCGGCAATGAAGAACACTTCATACATATCTTCACTATCCCTGAGATTAGCCAACCTTCATCTCTTTGCAGACCTATGCAACTACGCTATACAGCTGTGCAAGGAATTTGATTCCAAGGCCCGCCGTGTACCACAGACAATACAGATGGGGCTATCCAGTGAAACTCAATATCATGAAAAATGGTCTCTCCACAGGCTGCATCTAAATTGTTGCAGCAATGGGGCCTATCACCAACCCCTTTGATACACCAGAAGCCTCCTTGACATCACCTGAATGGTCTAATGAACCTGACTGCTCACCAAAATTGTCATAGTTATAGTTACCAGCTAGTCTATCACAAGATCCTCTCTGAAGACTTTTTATCCCTCCAACAATGGTATCATCTGTTCCTGCTTGTCCTTGACATGGACAACTGCAACCTGGCTATATTTTCAGTGTTATCCACACCTGGTTAGTAATTTTTGCTGCTTTCTTTTTGGTTTCAGGTTCCTGGTATGAATTAGGCTCCTCATTATTAGTGGATCTCTCATTTACATAGTTTGTTAAACTTATATTTAACTTTTCTTTACATACTGGCTGATATGGTAACCATAAGTCAACAGTCTTATATGCTCTCACTATACATTATAGTCATTATATATAGGCTGGTCACCTGCTCTCTGACTGATTTTATGTTCTTATTATTACACCCCTCACTGCAATCGAACAGTCTATGACTCTGGCATGGACCATTACACTTATTTTCTCTAATTTGCTTCTTTGTTATGCTCCCTTCTCGTTG